ATGGATCATTGTGTTGAGTATTTTGTGAACTCGAGACACAATTCCTTGACACAGTGTCGTTTATTTCCCTCCACAGCTTTGCCGAAAGAGTACCAGAGAATCGGCAAAGCCTTCCAAAACCTCTCCTCTGTTTTCACCAGCAGTGGATACCAAGGTACTGCAATAAATACCAATACAACTACTTTGAATGAGAACCCAAGAAATTCAATGGTAGAAGCAGAATTAGATACTGCTTACTATGCAGGAAGTCCTGGCAGGGAAGTATGTTTTGAAACAAATTGGCACACGGAAACACGTGTGATGACATTTTAACATTTGAACCCCTTCAGGCGAGTCGACCCTGACTGACGCCATGACGGCAGCGGGCAAGACATACGAAGAGATAGCTCAGATGGTAGCAGAGCAGGTACGTAGTACTATTATCAGAAATCTTGTGTTTCCTTTGCCTGTCTTGAATAATATCTTCCACTTGTTTCCCCTCAGGAAAGGCCTCTCTTTCCTCAAAGGCCTTAGAGTTCCCTTTCTGCGTCTTTCTCAACTACATTGTTTTGTGATAACTCTATCAATAACCATAATATCTCGCAATGTCTGAACATTTCCCGCTTGCGGTCAGTGTTTACTTCCTGTTTGTGGCGTTTTAATGCCCCCTTTAACCTAGCGTCCTGTTCTTAAAGACCTGTATCTGTAAGGGAAGAAGCCAAGGGCAAATTCATATCTAGTGTTTCCTAAATCTAGTTCCTACACTATTTGTGGCTTTCAGACTGTTCTATGTAGTCTGATTGGTGTGTGATCAAATCAAACTTGGGACTTTTTGATAACCATGCAGCTTTGAGAGGGAGGAATCATCTGGTAAGCTCATGTTGCTTCGGACTCTTTTTGTCAAATCTGCTGTAGAGTTGTTGTAGTTTAGCTAGCAGAATGTGATAGAGATTGAAGTGTAAAACAATGCTGTGTAACTGTTGCTTTAATTCTGCACACAGTATTTACTTGATCAATTCTGGAAAAAGGCAATAAAGTAGTTGTTGAACCGTATTACTATATGAAAGAAATGTAGATATTTTAGCTAAATATTTGTGTTCTTGTAAGGAGAATCTGCACTATTCTAAACTTGAATCTGGTTTTAGGCAAGAGGCCGGTTTGTTGAATTGAAACATTTGGGAAGTTGCTCCTTTGACATAATGTCTTCCTGTTTTTTCTTATCACTTTCAAGGCTTTGTTATTTCCTGTTTTTGATTTATGGTGACATTCATCTTTATTTTGTCTCTTTCTTTGCTCCCGTCACAGCCCAAGAAAGACCTCCACTTTGTCATGGAGACCAACAATGAATATAAAGGTCTTCTTGGATGCTTCCCGGACACAATCGGAGTCCATAAGGTAAGCTGGGAAAAAGTCACATAAGGATCATTAGAACAAATATATATATATTTAGACAGGAGCCAGTTGCACCAGCTTTTAAGAAATATATCTATATTATTATATGCATATATGAGGAAAAAGTCTTATATATTTTTATAGAATAGACCATTTCATATTTTGTTTGCCTCCTAAACTGTTATACGAGGAAGTGATGTTACAGATTATGATGCTTCAGTGACTCCCTGTTTACATTTTGTACTGCTTTTGATTGCACAACCGTACAGAGGAGGAGCTTATTCACACACTATTAAGGTGAATTAGGTAAGGCTAATTCTAAACTGTGCAACTTTATGTGCTACACCCCTCATTTAGAAAGTAGTTTATCAGCTAAAAGCTCAATAAGTACTTAAACATTTTGTAACTGATTTTTAAATATCTGGTGGAACCCAGTCCAGAAAATACCAGTTTAGTGAACATGCAAAACTTATATTTTACTTATCTTTTAATTTCTTATGCTAGTAAGTTTAATGGTCTTTTGTCTTCTTACAATGTCTCTGAAGACTCTTAGATTGTGTTTTATTTGTTTGATTCTTACAGGCAGCCATAGACAAAGTGAAGGAGGGTGACAAGCTGGTGGCCACCAGTAAGATCACCCCTCAGGACAAAGTGACCATGGCCAAGCGCGTCAGCACCATGTCGTACGCATTACAAGGTAACACGCTCACTCAGAATCACTGAAGCGCTGGAGGTTATTCTCACAGGTATCTGACATCTGGTTTCCCCTCTGCGTCTCCCACAGCTGAGATGAACCACTTCCATAGCAACCGTATCTATGACTACAACAGGGTCATGCAGTTGTACTTGGAAGAGCAAGTCAAGTTTTACGAGACGGTAAAGCATTTGAATCGTCCATCTAACAGAGTAAACTGGAGTCTGTAACAGTTTGTGTTGCCTTATCACCTGGGGTGTAGCTGCCGGCCTTTTGTATTCATCCTAGTTTTTTCTTCTTTTGAATCCACAGATTGCTACAAAGCTGAGAGAAGCACACAGTCAGTTCACTACCATGTGAGAGCCTTCAGTCTCGCACTACAAAGAAAGAAGAGTTAAACCAGCTCAACATCCAAAATATCCTTGCTTACACTGCATACTTTCCCCTACTGTTAATTTAAATGTCACTTCTTTCTTTTCTCTCACTCTTACCTCATCTCTTGCTTTACTGCTCTTGCCAACCGTCCCTGCTCATGGTGTTACATTCGTCCGAGCCCTCAGATGTAAATGGACCGTTGATGCGCGTGTGCAGCAGCTGACACTTATTTTAGGGCCTGCATTGATAGCAGAATAAGACACACTTGTTACACACACACTTTTCCTTTGTCCTGGCCTGCAGCTTATACAGGAAAGTAAAAGTGCTACATTGATTTGAGTTTCTGTAATCTGAAGTTTTGTAAAGCTTTAGGTCCCAACATGCCTGTGCTCACAGTTGATTTTAAATCAATACCCTACCATAATGTTATTAGTGGTAAAGATAAGATATCCACTTGTTTCCTATACAGAAAACAAAGCCATCCTTTCTGAAAGCAGCGTTGCCAATGAATCAGAGATTTACTGTCTTTTTCCCCCCCGGTATTTTAATATGTTTTGCCTCTAAATAGTACCGTTAAGATTTGAAGAAGTCAGCACATCTCTGGTGAAAGCAGTGGAGCTTTTTTATGAATCCTAGTCTTGTAAGAGTTGTCAAAGCCCAGAGTGTGTGTCCTCTGTATGTCCACTGCTGGCACTCCCTAGCCCCCTTTCATCCTGCACTTCCTCAAAAGCTAACAGGAAGCTCCACCCCCTTCCTGTTTTGACCACGTGCCTTGCCCCCTTTGAGGGAAATATAAATGGTTGACTTGGCTGCCCCCCCCCGCCAGCCTGCGTACCATGACTCTGCAGTTTACATTTCAGGAGAGAAGACAAAATGTAGGATGTTGATACGTAAGTTGGGGTTCATGATTGAAAGCGTTTAAAGGACATTAACCTCCTTCTTTCTCGCTCCATGTTCTTCTGAAGAATATTTGTCCTTAACCATTTTATGGTGTTTTATATGAAGGTGTATCAGCAATGTTAGCTGTAAGAATCTGTACTATAAGTAGAGTTTGGGGCGAAGCCATGGATTATGTCTTGTTTGCAGTTTTGCTTTTGTTTTCACCACCCAGTTTGCAATCAGTCTCTAATCATGTTCACGCTTTGTTTTCTTATCACTTGATACCTGAAAAATATGCATATATATATAAATATATTCTATATCTGACCTATCAGGTGCTTCTTGTCACTGAGATACTATTTTATGTATAGGAGTATTTGCAATACTGTGTAACTCAGAGAGGAGCAGAAATTCTGTTTGATTTATTAAACAATGATTTGTACTCATTGGGAGTTTCTTTGTGTGTTTTTGAAAGGAACCTTGTCTTGTTCTCTGCACACCACACACACTCTGAATAACTCACAGTGAAGCCCTTATTCGCTTTAGCAGCTTCTTGCGTAGAGATGGATAGGAATGAGAATGAGTCGGCAGCCTGTGTGAAGGGTCAAAGAGTGTGTTTGTGCACTCTTGTAGTTGGGCAAGTGAAAGAGCCCTTTTACCCCACGTACAGCTCTCTGCCCCCATCAGGTGCAGCTGGATGTTGAGGCCACATAATGTAGGATTTCATGCACCACACAGTACATGCATTCTCAATATTCTTTGTGTGTGTGTTTAGCTGTTTAGGGCTTCTAAGCTTGGAGCAATAAGACAAATACTCTCATACTGAGTGTGTCAAATATTTGTTTTATATTTACCATAGTTTAAAATGAACTGACCTGCAGTTTTCTTCCTGTATCCTTCAGCCCACATTTGACCTCTGCTCAACATATGCCCGCTAAATTAGCAGAAACCTGCCAATAGGCAAAAGGTCTCTGGAGACCCATGCCTGGAGCAATTTGAATGTAATTAACACTCACTGGATGCCACAGATAAACAGCAGTGTGTGTACTGTATGATTAGAGTTATCTCTTATTTCCACATATCAGAAATGTCCCCACTGTTTCTTAACAGAGTGATCTTGTAGACAAAAAACACTTTTTTATATATTCAATTGTGTCACTTGCGTCACATTCTGTCAGTAAGGAAGTGAGCAATTATTTACCAAAGTAAATATATTCATTTTTTACTTTTATTGCTAAATATTCTGTTCATTAATGGATAAATAATTTGGTTTACAAATGATTACAAATCTTACAATTATGATAAGCAAAGCAACAATGAAAATGACTTAAGGTTATTTAAATGGTTGCAAATTAACTTTTTGTCAATCCACAAGTTGAGTAATCTTCTAATTGTAACAGCTGTATTTACTACAAGTAGTTTAATTTATAACAAATGATCATATTTTAGTAGTCCTTTATATGTTTTGTGTGCAGAAAAAATAGAAGTAAAGTTCTTAGAGCTGTCAGACAAATGTAGCGAAATAAAATGTACAAATTTGTCTCTGCATTGTAGTGATGTAGAAGTAAAAATGTGGCCTACAAAGAAAATACTAAAGTAAAAGGACCATCCAATACTGCATTTTGTACACATAGTGTTTATTGTACCATCAATACAGTATGTATGTTTACACAGTCCTCATACATCTTCTCTGCCTGACTATACTGTTAGACAGTAGCACTTATCATATCAAAGGGTTATTATATCTAATATAATTCAGTGTCCTTTAAAGTATTCAAACCCTTTTTATGTCAATAACAGTTTACACAATAGATATAGCTTATAGTTGGCTGCAATTTAAAATGACTACAGTTGGATAATCATACAACTGCAGATCCTTCAATAAACATGGTCTTCTTGCCAGCTGCACAGGCCTCCTCTGTCAACACATCGTACCATTTTAAACTGTATTGATAAGAGTTTGTCAAGTGTTAAAGTATCAAACTAAAGTACAAAATAGAAGTAGAAAATAAGGAAGAACTCACTCCACATTGACTCAATGAGAAATTTCCAGGAACATTACAGAACTCGTTTGTGAAAAAGTTTGTGTTTGCAAAAATACGCAGCAGAAAAACAGTTTTGAGGATATAGAGCCAGATCTGTAGGTAGAGTAGTTCAGAGGTAACAGAAGAGAGGTCCTTCTTTGTTGACATGAGTGGCATTCAGTTCCTTCATGATGAGCTCTGTCAATAAAAACATCCCTGGTGAGATGGCTCTGCAGACATTACTTCCGGGGTTGCTCTTCTCTCCTCACTGTTGTCATGGCCACGGTGGGTCATGGTGACAAACGTGCTCTGAAAGAGTGAGGTCGGATCATCATGCTGACTTTGTGTAGGGAGTAATAGTCAGAGTCTTTCCAGGAGTACCAAACGATCCCATCAGGACCCAGTGGCCCCAGGCCTTTAGGAGTGTAAACGCCTCCCTGCAGGAACAGGAAGTAGTAAACACTCCGATGACATTAAAAGCATAATGTTTGGGGCGACCTTTGTACACTCACCCTGTAGTAGACGCCATTTAGGTTGGCGTAGAAGCACTGGTTGTACCACCAGCCGCCGTGGGAGATCTCTGCACAGATGTTGCCACTGTCGGGGGTGCTGAAGCCCTGCTTGTCGTGGTACCAGCTGAAAGAGTCCTGCACTGTCCCACTGAAGCCTGACACATGGAGACGGTACAGATGCTCCTCATCTTCCACACTGCACACACAAACACACAATGATGGAGTAGGGACATTATGCAAGAGATGGTTGTGCGTGTTTGTGCACTTGTATGCCGCTAACCTGAAGCTCTGGTAGAGGGCATGTTTGTGTCTGTTGCTCCAGTCCTCCAGCTCGATGCGGAGGCTGTAGTCTCCCTGGGTGCTCAGGTCATGTATGTGGTTGTTTCCCAGCCAGAACTCTGAGTGCAGGTCACCAAAACCGTCCCTGTAGTCCCTCCAGCTGCGGTCAAAGCTCAATGAGCCGTCAATGCGCCGCTGGATCACAGTCCAGCCCCCACCTGAGGCAAAAAGTAGGTATATTACTAGATGTATATTGTATTGTCTATTTTTTTTTCTTCTTAAATTTGTTTTGTTTTCTTTGTACAGCATTGTAGTTGGCAGGATGTGGGCATGTGCAATTTCTCACTATCAGGGTAATGTTCATAAATGCCTTGTTTTGTTAATTAAAAACCAAAAGACTTTCTATTTAATTTGATACAAAAAAACTGAAATCAGGAAATCTCTTATGAGGAAGGCTGTGTAAAGGATTTCCCCCCCGGAGTGTCTATTTGTACCCGGGTGAAAATAGCAACAGGTATTCGGCTATTTACACCAAACCCCCTTTCTCCCCTCCCCTCGTTGCATAATGCAACAAAGCGCGGCAAAAAAAGTAATGTCCAAATGGGAGTTGAAGACATCTTTTCAGAGACATTGCATCTTTGGTTTGAAGGATACACATGTAACAGGATAAATGACATACATTGTGTTGGTTGCTCACTGTAATAATGTAATATATGCAGGGTGCAAATAGCCAATGTAGTACACCCCGGGTGCAAATAGTATTGTTGAGTATTTTCACCCGGGTGCAAATAGTATTACCTATAGATTCAAACATAATGAAATGTATGCCAGGATGTCAAATGCAGTTGTCATCTGTGTGCAAATAGCATTGTTGACTATTTTCACCTGGGTTCAAATAGCATTGTTCACTATAGTCACAAGGTTCAAATAGCATTACCTATAGATTCAAAACATTATCAAATGTATGCCCGGATGTCAATAGCATCCGGGTGACAATAGTGAACTTCAAAACTAATGCAACGTATGATGGGTTATTATTTTGTATTACATCTTGTGAAATGAGAAATACTTGTTTGTGCTTGACAACATCTGGTGGGAAAATCTTGAAGTTCAGCTAAAAATAACGTTCTACTCATGTGATTGTAATTATGACTCACCATCTGTGTCCATATCACAATAGACCTGCACAGGTACGCCGGCCAAGAATGGCACTACTGTGTAGAGCCCTGATCTCCTCACTCCATTGTAGTAGATGGAAGCACAGTCTATTGGACAGTTTCTCACATGCTGATACTCTGAGGGAACACAGTGTGAGATACGATTTGGTAGGAGTAAATCCACAAGGGGACATTGGCGCCCTCTGCTGGGGGTCACAGCACGTGAGACTGCACGCACTGTTTGCTTCTGAAGTGTACCTGTCTGAGGAGCTTGTTGGGCACTCATCAGCGGGTTGGGGCGGACCATGTTGACCAAGCACCCGGGGCTTTTTTTAACATCATCCAGCAAAAGTGTCAGGTTATGCAGCTGGTTCTAAACAGAAATGAAACAAAACCATCAAAAAAAGCCCAGTGTAAAATAAGTTATGATGTTTTTTGTGGCTTCTTATGATGGGTGTACCTGGAGGTCTAGGATCAGAGTGCCCTGTAGGTGCAGCAGGGTGTTGGTTTCAGAAAAGTGATGCTCCAACTCATGAAAACGCTCCTCTAAGGAGGAATTTGTTGGGCTCCTCTCTCCACCCTGACAACATACAAAATACTCAATCACTAAAGCCCGCTCTCATAACAAAACACAACATATATAGGCATTAACTGAGATCTGGGTAAGGACACTTTAAAAAAAGTGTACAGAATATTTGAATTATTCATTTTAGCTCGAGGCATGCAAGGACATTTTCTCAAAGTTACACCTTGTGATTTATTTATTCTCAAGTGATACTTATGGAGGTGAAATATGCCTTTAACTTACCATGAACTAAGCCTTTAATTTAGTACTAGGGGCCTACATCTGTAAAGTGAGCACATTAAAACTAAAACCTGCAGGTCTCCGGGGGCTCTCAGCACAAAAAGGACGAGCCCTCTCTTCTAAAACGTAAAGCCAGACACACAGTATGTGGTCTATTCCTAGCCTTGACATGGAGGATAACACTAACTCCCATTACTACAAACCCTGGATCCCTCTCTCCATGGCCCCGTTCTCATGAACCCTGCCCAATGTCCACCTTTTGCCACAGAGCGGTCCAGCTGACAGCCTCTGTTTGTGTAGGCTCACTGCCTGAGACGCAACACGTGGAAGAGTAGCAGGCTAATCCTGTTAGTGACTAAGGTCAAGGACATGCTGGGTGGGAGCCAGCTCCATGACCAGTCACCATGTTACTCTGCAGAACTGTAATCAACTAATGTGTCTCCTGTGCTAAAACACAGAACAGGAGTGGATTCTTAAAGAAAGTTAGGTAAAGTTTCATAAAAGTTGACCGCTAAGTAAAGCATCAAACCATGTTTAAGACTTATCAGATCAAATATTTAGCAAAAAGGCCCTGAGCAGAGGAAATACATAATAATAAGTTAATATTTAACTAAAAGTCTGGCTCTGAATAGATATTCAATGCCAGAAGAGATTTAAAGAGCAGAATTCTTCAAAATGTGTAAAAAAGTTATATCACTTGTCTTTGAAAAGGAGCAGTCACATTGTTTAACATCCGGTGAGCTGCATGTGGACTAAAGAGGAACCGAAAGCAGTTCAGAGGATTGTTGCTGATAGTTGACCCAGGGCTGCTAAGTCCATATGGAGATCTCACATGCAGCTCGAGGACTCTGATGCGGTGCCGGTGGTTCCTCAGCTCCTCCTGCAGCTCAGAAATGGTCTCCTTCAGCGTCACAATCTGCTGCTTCCTCTCCTCGTTCTCATGCAGCCAGAAGGAGACCTCATCTGTGCAGCGAAACATGTCCGGGCACTTCTGTCCCTCCAGCTGAGGCAGCGTGGCCACCAGCCGGCACATCCCATCCTCCATCACCTGTTCCATGACAAAACAGTGAGAACTTCCAGACCTGCTGTTGCTCAACGGTTTCAAAAATATCTAGTGATATATAATTTAACTACAGCCTCAGGTAGCCTAGCTGTGACTGGAATTTTTACTCTGGCAAATCAATAAAAGAACACTTCAAAAATCAAACACTTTCTATTGCACATGAATTATAATTAGATGTTATAACAACATTTGCTACAATACATTTTTCTTTTGAAATATTTTCCTTTTGTTCTGTTATATTCAATGTGTGTACATGTGCAATGCTGCAAATCTGCAAAAAGTAGTTTGTAATGGTTATATTATATTAAGTCGGTAGATTGGGTACTTATTGGCTTAAACATACATTCCTATCCGCAATGTTATCCGTAAACTTATCCTTGAATGAATTCAAATATGACAGTAGATTTTTATAAATATAACCACAATGAGGACAAGGATGTTTCTGGTTTTTGGCAGTTGATCATGGAGCATCAAATGACATCATTCTGCAGTCCAGTTGATGTTAGTTGTCAGTTTTCTAGTTATGCTCACCTTGTAAAAATACATTTTAATGCAATTCTTTCAATAAAACTACCCAAGAGTAAGTATTTAAGAGTTCAAATGATCTCAACATCTAACAACTACAATATGATCATAATCTTTTAAGCAGCTGTTCAAGGTCAACTTGTTCAAAATATCACAAACAAATAATCAAACTATGAAAATAGCAATATATATTTTTTCCAACTGCATTTGTTATCTCAACATCCCTCAGATTTGTCTTGTGACACATTGGAGGGGGCGTGGCCCACACAACCAAAATAATGCACTAAATAGCTACCTTTTTACCAAATACTTTGGTAAAATGCTAAAATACATTACAAAATGTAATATAATATATTTGTTTACCGGGACCACATTTAGCAAGAAATTCACTTTGGTTACTCTTGAGTATTTTTTTGCTGATATTATCTGTACTTTCCCTCAATACTATTTTTTTGTTGTATAAGTACTTCAACAGTCTGCTGGTTCAGAGATCAGACACGTCTCTAGTAAGAGGAGGAAACAGCTCGTTGAGATTACATTGGCTTGTATTCCGGATGTTTACAGTAATTACCTGGTTAGTGTACTCTCCGCACTGGGATCCCCCTCCATTGTGCTGATTGGTCGTGTTCAGGCTGTTTGCTCGAGCCTCGGGGAGCAACAGGGTGAGGATATAGAGAGCAGAGCACAGGCTCAAACCGGGGGGGAGGGTGAGGGACAGGGGGGACATTTCTGCCGCCTGGTTAGTCCGTCCCGGCCTTTTTAGTTAGAACGAGGACGGGACACAGGAGTGTGTGCTCCACCTTATGACGCTCTGCAGGAAACTGAAAACATCAGTGTATCATGCTCAGAATATTTGCTGCATACAAAGTCTCTTACACATGCAATTAGCAAAGTGGGATTACCTCCCACGGTCTATCACATTACTAAAGTGTGTCCTCAGGTAACTCAATGAACACACACACACACACACACACACACACACACACACACACACACACACACACACACACACACACACACACACACACACCCCCCCCACACACACACACATGCACGCACGCGCGCACGCACGCGCGCACACACACACACACACACACACACACACACACACACGGAAGCTTGCACATGTATCATGCTCTTCAAAGCCAAACTATTGGTACTTTCTAAGTCGCTCATTAGCATACATGCATGCACAGATATCATGACAACATTTAGCATTGCCTTCTGCAGAAATCTTTTTTTCTTAGTTTTACATTTTTTTATGAAATGGCAGTGACTCACCCCAGTAAAAGACCAACTTCTACTCCATTCCCAGCCCATTTCAGGCTGAGGGGTTTTCTCCATTTCCTTCTCCTTTTTTTGTGTATCTCCGGTATCTCTCTCTCTCACTCACTGTGTGTGCCTCATGCTCTACTTCTGTGCCCCTCTCTCTCCCTCTCAGTGTAGACATCTTAGTCCTATAATCCACTGCTAAGAGGATTCAACATGATTGAGGGATGGAAGGCAGATGAATAGGAAGGCGGTAATGAAATTATTGGTAAAAGAGACAAAATATATGCAATATAGATGTAAACATACTAAGCAATATGTGCAACATAAACACAAAACAACCTAACATCAAGTGATTGGGAAATATGTAGTGTATTGCATTTCATGGTGATAAAGCTTATGAAATAAGATAATTAAACTTTATTACTTAAACAGAACAAGTAATGTATGTGCATTGAATTGAATTGAATGCACATACATTACATGCATCAGCAAAACTCCAGCACACATGGGCACCTACAGTAAATAAGCATCATCTCCAGGCACAATAATCCTGCTCAAAGCCAGTCGTAATGAAGTCTGATGTGAGTGGGAGAATGAGGGGTGCTGATCCTATTACAGCCGCCAAGCCGTTCTTTACATCTTTATACTCTCCACTAGCAAACATGGTCTCCTTGTTATTTGTTGTTCCTTGTTAAAAACTGCTATTGGAAACCAAATTCTTTGTTTTTATTTGAATAATAATGTAAAAGCTATTCTGTAGGCTTGTATAAACTGCAAAATATATCCTGAAAGCAGCTTTCTGTACTGTGACTGTGCCATATCAATTTGCATTGCTGCTTGAGGGAACTGTTGCACTCTCAAAGAGGCTCTGCAGAGAAAAATCTATCTTCCTGCTATTTTAACAATACTCTGCACACCACACACAAAGCAGGGCAGTGTTTCACCTGACCAATGCATTGCAAATATTATACAAACATATTTGATAACCCATAAAAACTCTAAGGAATGTTAAACCTTGCTCACAGAAACAGTTGCTGTTGTTCCTGTTGGTGTCTGAGTGTGAGAGAAGCTGTGTGTGAGGCCACATGGTGGCACTATGTTACTACTTAAATACCTCCTAGCCTTGACTGAAGGGATAATGAGCTTCCCTACTGATGTGCACAACATTATACAAACAACAAATAACAATACATTATTAGTTACTAGACTATTCTTACTGCTGATTTCATACAAAAGGAAAACGAGGTAAAAAGTAATGTAGGAAAGTCATCTTATCGGATTTTGGTAACTTGGTGCCATAGTCAAGGCTTTTTACAGAGCATATATCCAAAACTAATTAAAGGGTATTGTAAAAATGTACCTGTAAAATATATTTTTTGTAATTTTTATTTAATATCCTCAAAGCCTGAATTTTTGTTCTGTAAAAAACTACATTTAGGCTTCATGGTGCCAACTGGGCATTTTTGTCAAGCCTCACCAAAGTAATTTATCAAAAAGCATTTAATCAATTCACTCACTGGTACTAAGTGGTGAATACAAATGTTTTTTTTCACGGAGACATTGTGTATAAACTGTTTTTAATGATGAGCTTTCTCTGTAGCAACTGATTTATACCCAGTAAAATCAACACCAGCAGACATCTGTTTAATTAATGATCAATAGCTGCTGATGATGTTGCTTTAAAATGTCAAAGTGTAATCAGAAATCATAGTGATACGAAATCAATGTTATGAAGTCACTTTGCTGTTATTAGTGTCAGTTTTGATTTAAATGTTATATAGCTCGGACAACTGTTTCCCAGATACTAATTTCTGATTATATATCATATATACTGTGGAAATACATGTATGTAGTTAAGAGAGATAAGAAAGAATAATCTTGCTGACCAGAGAACTGTAAACTCAAACACAGCATGTTTCTTCTTTCATCCGAAACAGCTTGACCTATATTTGATCAATAAATGAGGAGTTACACAAAGCCCACTCACTGTGACAAACATCTACAGCTCAGTGTCTTGTTTACAGTGTATGGACTATTGATTTTATGGAAACAGCAGATACGGTTTCATTCTTTATAGGGTTTCTGTTATCTCTCGCTCACACATGGTTGACAGAAAAACAAATGAGCAAAGGAACATAGAGAATGAAGATGAAACAGAGAACAGGTCAGGGTTCACTGGAGGGGTTGATATGTAGAAAAAGTGTGTGAATTATAATGACTAATTGCTCTGCAGTCACTGGACCTTAACCGTTTTGAGCAAATATGGAATTTTAGACCAATGTGTTAGACAGAGATTAGCAAAATACCAAATAAAGGATACATTTATATTCTGTATTAGAGGGACATAGAATTGCTGCCAAGGAGCATTAAAGCTCTCGTGTTTTCTCTTTTCTTTCATTGGTCGCCCATCTTTGTGTACTGTCTTCACAGTATGGCTTTTTTCTGAGTCAGTTTTAAACAGTCTCTTCTAATTCATGGCTTATGTTGCTTTGAACAAAAAGAGAGTGCACAAATACAAAATTACTTGATGATTGACTAGGGTTTTTCCAAGAAATAATTATAATTTGGTAGTAATTATTATGGAATTAGACATTTCCTTGAAAGCCCTGCTCCATTAAACAGTATAAGTCGTGTTTTACATCTATTTTACTAAAGTTATTTGTAAGTTCATTAGATTGGATTACATATTGTCTCTACCTTTTCATGGTAGCCTTACTAGGAAGCTTCCTAGCCAATTTAGGAAATTACAGATCCCGTCTTTTAATTTTGCATTAAGTGTGTTTACTTTAAATGTCAAGTTCAATTACGTGTGCATAAATGTAAACTCATTAAAAGTAAGAAATTAAGGGCGGCACAGGGCAAACATTTCAGAACAGCCCTAAGAACGGCGACAGTTTAATTTTTAAGGTTGAGTTAAGGCCGATATACTTAGAGGATGCACACTTATCCTTGAAACAGTGCTTTATTTACCCTTGCTTTTAATTCTGGAAATTAGCAGCACTTAAAGGTCCCATGTCATGCTTTTCCGGTTATTACCCGTCCCCTTGTGTGTTACGAATGTTTTTATGCATGTAAACGGTGTGCAGAGTCAAAACCCTCAAAGTACACCCTGTAGCGAGTAAAACTCTAACACAGAAAATACCTCCCCAAAACGCCTCGTTGGAGATACGCCATTGTCCATTGTTTACTTCCTGGGTACTGTGACGTAGGAATTTCCTACGTCACAGTACCCAGGAAGTAAACAATGGACAATGGCGTATCTCCAACGAGGCGTTTTGGGGAGGTATTTTCTGTGTTAGAGTTTTACTCGCTNTTAATCGATTTGAAACCAAGTCTAACGTAGCTTAAACTTAACGTTAGCTTTCTAGCTAACACAAAACATGCACGTACCTTTCTCTGTGGGTTTTTTTTTGTAGGGACGAATGAAGTTGGATGTTGTGGTGGTCCTGTCACCGTTCTTTATGCTGCAGACCCTGCATACCGCTGTTCTTTTCTTATTAGCGTCATCGACAACATAATCCTTGAATCCAAACTTGACTATTTGTGGAGTAATGCTAGCCGCTGCCATGTTAACTGACACTTCTGCCTACTAGTGGGTTGCCAGGTTTGCGCGCATGGCGCTATAATCGCCCAATCACATTTCGCAAAAACTAAACGTAATATCTCAATCCAAAAACAAACACAAATATTTAATAAAAAAAAGTCAAGTCCTTTCAAGTCATCTGTCTCCAGCTTAAGTCAAGTCTCAAGTCATGAATACCAAATCAAAGTCAAGTCTTTTATCAATGTTAGTCAAGCAAGTCTCAAGTCCAAAAATATGCGACTCGAGTCGGACTCGAGTCAAGTCATGTGACTAAGACACGAGGATAGGAGTTGAGGAGGGGAAATTAGAGAATTGAGAAGCCTTCATAGTGAGCTGTCTTCCTTTGTCTGAAGCCAGATTTTCTTGTGTCTTTTGCCGAGCTCTCCAGCGTTTTCCTATTGCATCTTATCGTTACAGTCATTGTCCACCATCTATAGTAAGGTAAGATCAGGTATCCTAGTAGTATTTTTCTAGTATTTTGTTAGGTAAGCATTAGTGTAGATTATTTATTGTATGTATTTTTGCACTGTAACTGCTTTTCAAGTAGACTCTTTTTGTACTTGAATCCTGTGTCTGCCTTCGTGCTTTTGGGTCCACCACTTGTACACCCGTGACACATTTGTCGTATGGGTTACAGATTTGCTCTGATAACCACAATTAGGATGACTTAATTTCATCATATTTGACTTCAAGTATATTTCACATCATTTAGACAGTCATTTATAGGGTTCCAAGCTTTGAAGCAGTGATTAGTATTTTGTTGCTGAATGGGGAAACCCGGTAAACAGTTTAATAGTCCAAATAGTGAGAGGCGGCAGAATTCTCTAATTACATTGCCATGCTGCAAAATGGCTAACACACACAAAAACAAA